AGCTTGCCTTAGCAACTCTAGTCCTGAAGTTAGCACCTGAGCTGTCTCCCAGGAGGGAACTAGCAACCTCCAGACTCCCGTGATGTTACAGACCAGAGACAAGCCTGGCACACACAAGAACAGAAGCAGCAAAGAGTTACCGTAAATCATAGTTTTATTAAAGCATAGAGTCATTTCAAAAGAAATGAAGTGGGTGCTTCTCAAAAGCTCAGAAGGAATGCCTTAGTGTAGATATAGTACACTCAGTTCACCACGAGTTCCCCCCACCCACTTCCGAGTGGCTTATGTGTGGTTTGGCATGCTTGCCTGAAATTGCATGTACTCTTGAGACTGTAAAACCTGAAACTTCTCCCGTTTATAAAAACCTTGGATTACCAACCAGGCTTCCATGTGAATTCTTTCTCACTCAAAGCCAAGAATTGAGGTATTATCCACTCCAGAAACTTAGCAGAAGCATTGAAGAACTAGAGGGCCAAAAATAGACTTTGGGGCCAGGGCATGGCACCCCATCAGACTCAATGGAAAACACTCCTAAAGGTCAACAAACAGACCTTGAACTATTTATAGAATTTGTTTTGTTTTGTTTTGTTATTTTGTTTTGCTCTGCTAGTTCCCTCCTGGTCCACAATCCAGTGTTGGCAGCAGGCCTTGGCATTCCTCTGCAGAACCTAATGTCAAAAATTGTAATCCATACTAAAGGCTGCAATCCTTGATTTTCATCAGCAAGCGCATCGTGTCTTGAATATAATCTATAGTTAATATTTATAGTAATTTGCAGAAGAAACAAGTATAAATATTAAGTTTTAAAAAGCTGTAGTGGAGGGGTATTTGCCAAATAGATTGCAGAAGAGTTGCCCCTGAGACTAGCTTCTAATAAAATTCCATTCATTTGTCTCTCTGTACAACTTACAGTGGTTAGTATGCCCAATGTGGGACCCCACTCATGCTGCGTATTCAGCTCAGGGGAGACCAGGGACAGAAATCGTTCACTCCTCCTCAGGTTCAAGAGTGCTGTGGCCCCTACCCCTTACCAGACCAGCAGAGAAAAGATTGAAGTTGTCAAGAGGGAATTAAGGAGAGAAGAAGTTTATAATAATTTATAAATTATCAAGGGTTCAGGGGGAGGGGGGAGCAGGGAGGGAGGGGGAAAATGAGCTGACACCAAGGACTCAAGTGGAAAGCGGGTGTTGTGAGAATGATGAAGTCAACATATGTACTAATGTGCTGGACACAAATGATGTATGTACAGATTGTGATGAGTTGTATGAGCCCCTAATAAAATGATTATTTAAAAAAATAATAAATAAATAAATAAATTTTTTTTTTTTAAAGGAGAGAAGTGAGAGACGGAGACTGATCAGCCTTTGGTGCATATGTCCCCTGTAAAAGCTAGGGGGTCATTGGATGTGGCCTGAAAGGGAGCTGGGCTGAGCTTCATAGAGTCTGCTAAGAGCCAGTGTTCCTCCATGTTTGCCTCTGAGCCTACCCTATAAAGTTCTTCATCAAGGCTGGCCCTGTAAAAAGTTCTGCACAAACAGGAAAGAACGTGCCTTTGTCAGAGACCAGGGAACCAGTGAACCAAGGACAATAACGACTGCAAAGGAATCAGGGAACCATGACCAAAATGACCACCTGGAGCTCTTATGACACCAATCAATCATTGGTGAAAACCTCAGCCTGCATTTTGCACCCCAAAGGGTCAGACCCATTCCTTATTTCTGTACATTATATAAGGGCACTAGTCCCTGAGCATGGGGCTGGTGCTCTGCTCTGCCTCAAACCGTCTGCACCCAGATGCTAAATAAATCTCTTTTTGCTAACACTTGGCCTCATGTCTGAGTCAAATCATGTTGAAACCTTAAAGTTACTAGGTCCCTGAGGACACGGAAGTGAATCTTATGGTGCCACACTGGTCAAGAAAAGTCCGTTGGTACCAGAGAATTGTAATTGGCAATGGAAATTTCTTTTTTTTGTACAAGGCACTTCTAAGTACTGTATTAGAGCTTAAATTCTGAATACCCCTTTTGGAGGAGGCTATGGTTGACAGTGAAACCTAAAATCCATTTGCAGAGTTCCCACATTGATTAAATCTCTTCTGAAAATGAACTAGGAATAAGAAGAGTCTTGTCCTTGGGAAGAGTGGATTACCTCTCCAGCCAGCCCAGAGGGGCAGTCTACCTTATGGGCTTGGTTGGGTGTGCCTTTGATGGATCAAAGTACTGGGGGTCCAATAGTCATGAATCATGCCGATCATGCCCTATCAGTTATACCCTGACTGCCTTTGTCAGAAGGCCTGGGATCAATCTTGTAAGCTTTTGTCTAACAATATATACAAGGCCTAGTCATGGTTCTGTTCCTTTTCTGTAGTCCCACTTATAACTCTGATATATTGAACTGCTGCTGGCAAAGAATTTGTGATAATTTCCTTTGCCAGGTACAATTCATGGGTCTTGCAAAATCCTATCATTTGATCTTCAGCTTTGATATTTCCTACTGAAGTTCCTTCTTTTTGTTTCCAATTTTTGCATTCCATCACCAGTAATTTTCAATGCATTTTGATTGCATGTTTGATTAATTTCTTACCAAAGTCAGTAGAATTCTTCAATTTCTTCATAGCTAGCTTTTGTGATAGTGTGTAAACTTGAGTAATAATTGTATTGATTGGATTTCCTAGATGTTGGATAGATATAATCCTATCATTGACAGCACTGTACTTCAAGATTGATTTTACAAAGTTCTTTTTCACAATGAATGCAACCTCATTCTTCTTGATTGTATTATTCCCAGCCTAGTAAATTATATGATTTTCTGATTCAAAATGGCCAGTACCAGCCCATTTCAGCTCACTAATGTTTAGGATATCGATCTTCATACATTCCATTTCATTTGTGACCACTTCCAATTGTCCTAAATTCATACCTCACACATTCCAAGTTCTGACACTAGAAGATATTTGCAGCTGCTTTTCTTTAACTATCATGCCCCATCAGCAAATGAAGATCCTGAAGGCTCCACTCCCACAGGCTTTACCCAACTAATGTCACCATGGTTGACCCCAGCCCCCACCCCACCAAGAAATCAGCTCCTCTTCAGTTACATTTTGAGTGCCCTCAGACCTGAGGGGCCCATCCTCTGGCAGTATCTCTGACAATGTTCTGCTTCCTCTGTCTAAGCTTTCAGTATTTGACAATGCCAAACTGCTAAAAGGCCAGACTGATCTATGTTGGAAGAAGTAAGGCCAGGAGCGCTCCTCAGAGGCAAGGATGGCAAGCCTTCATTTTACATACTTTGGACATAGTCAAGAGAGACCAGTCCATGGAGAAGGATATCATGTTTGGGAAAGTGGAAGGGCAGTGGAGAAGGGGAAGGCCCTCAAAGAGCTGGACTGACCCTGTGGTTGCATCAGTGGACTCAGGAATAGAAACGATTGTATGGATGGCACAGGACCGTGCAGTATTTTGTTCTGTTGTGCATAGGGTCTCTATGGGTCAGAACCAACTAGGTGGCACCTAACACTAAGTAAAGCATCTATCACTCACTAGGAACCACATTATTTTTCCACCTATAGCAATATTCTTTTTTTTAAAATCATTTTATTGGGGGCTCGTACAGCTCTTATCACAATCCATACAGCAATTGAATCAGGCATGTTTGTACATATGTTGCCCTCATTCTCTTCTAGATATTTACTTTCTATTGAGCCCTCTCGGTACCAGCTCTTTTTTGAAGTCCCCTTCCCTGTACAGCAACATTCTTGAGAGCACAGTAATAGAGATCAATGGGAACCACATGTTGTCCCCCTTGAACTTCCACTGTGAACAAGTTTATTATCTCTAAATTGTAATGAGATTTGGGTAGACACCTCCCAAATGCTGATGACTATGAGTCACTATACCCTAGGACATAATTATTCCATTTGTAAAAATAAAATT